TATTCAGATCATTATTCATTACTTATCCCTCGCACACCCCCTCACACCCATCATGAATATTTTCTGTGTTCGATATCGTTGATAATAATAGAATATTTTCTGTGTTCGATATCGTTGATAATAATAGAATATTTTCTGTGTTCGATATCGTTGATAATAATAGAATATTTTCTGTGTTCGATATCGTTGATAATAATAGAATATTTTCTGTGTTCGATATCGTTGATAATAATAGAATATTTTCTGTGTACGATATCGTTAATAATAATAGAATATTTTCTGTGTACGATATCGTTGATAATAATAGAATATTTTCTGTGTACGATATCGTTGATAACAATAGAATATTTTCTGTGTACGATATCGTTGATAATAATAGAATATTTTCTGTGTACGATATCGTTGATAATAATAGAATATTTTCTGTGTTCGATATCGTAGATAATAATAGAATATTTTCTGTGTTCGATATCGTTGATAATAATAGAATATTTTCTGTGTTCGATATCGTTGATAATAATAGAATATTTTCTGTGTTCGATATCGTTGATAATAATAGAATATTTTCTGTGTTCGATATCGTTGATAATAATAGAATATTTTCTGTGTACGATATCGTTGATAACAATAGAATATTTTCTGTGTACGATATCGTTGATAATAATAGAATATTTTCTGTGTACGATATCGTTGATAATAATAGAATATTTTCTGTGTTCGATATCGTAGATAATAATAGAATATTTTCTGTGTTCGATATCGTTGATAATAATAGAATATTTTCTGTGTTCGATATCGTTGATAACAATAGAATATTTTCTGTGTACGATATCGTTGATAACAATAGAATATTTTCTGTGTACGATATCGTTGATAATAATAGAATATTTTCTGTGTTCGATATCGTAGATAATAATAGAATATTTTCTGTGTTCGATATCGTTGATAATAATAGAATATTTTCTGTGTTCGATATCGTTGATAATAATAGAATATTTTCTGTGTTCGATATCGTTGATAATAATAGAATATTTTCTGTGTAGGATATCGTTGATAATAATAGAATATTTTCTGTGTACGATATCGTTGATAACAAAAGAATATTTTCTGTGTACGATATCGTTGATAATAATAGAATATTTTCTGTGTACGATATCGTTGATAATAATAGAATATTTTCTGTGTTCGATATCGTTGATAATAATAGAATATTTTCTGTGTTCGATATCGTGAT